AAGTGCTGCCAAAGGTGAGATCTCGTTAGAGAAGAATCAATACTTTCCTCTCGGCCTCCGTCGACCACCACAGGCAATGTTTGTCTGAAATCACCACCCAGAAGCATGCACTTTCCTCCGAAAGGCTTATATCCCTCGCCACTTATCGGAATGTTCATGACGTCGCAGAATGTTCGATCGAGAGCCTCGAAAGCGAATCGATGTGTCATAGGAGCTTCATCCCATACAATTAGGGTGGCTTCTTGGATCAGCTGGGCTAGATGAGATCCCTTCTTGATGGTGCAGGTAGAAGTGTGATCTATCTCAAGGGGGATTTTGAACCTCGAATGTGTCGTTACTGCATTTGGCAATAATGTAGCGGCTATGCCCGATGAAGCAACTACCAAAACAATCTTTCTCATACTCCTTAACTTGGCAATTATTGTATCATATAAGAAAGTCTTGCCTGTCCCGCCATGTCCATGTAAGAAGAACAACGAACCTTGTTCAGAGCTCACTGAATCGAAAACGGCATTATAAGCGTTCCTTTGATTTTGATTGAGTGATTCTAAGTTTCTTGATGCACGCGTACTCTGTTCTCTGATATCGTAATCGAGCTGTTCGGTTATGAGGCTGTTGAGAGACGTGTCGCAGGCATTCAAATCTGGAGAAGGTAGGCCGAAGTGTTGTAATGTGGTGGAGTAATAACTCAGCAGTCGTTGTAGCTCAAGCAAAACTGAGTTTCTCAAAGAGCTCGATGGGGGCTCGAAGTATCTGGAAGAGCTTTCTCGCCTTGCTTGATATGCTATGTCGTCTGCCATCTGTTCCCAGAATTTATCAAACAAAGTTAAAGGCTCTGTGATTTCACAGAACATCAACATTGAAATAAAAGTAGTCATGATTAGAGAGGGATGACCCCATTTGCAGATTTCTTCTAGGACAAATGCCCACTCTTCATCCGATGAAAGCAAGCCTAGTTTTTGGCATGCTATTTTGTATGTGCGACAGCGGGCGCCGTTGACAGTTCGAAGATCGTCGAAGCTCAAAGCACCCCGAACTTTTGTTAGCAGCATTCTCAAGTAGACAACATCCCCGGAACCTGGCGGTACATACACGATTATGCCAATCTGAAATCCTCGTTTCCTAGCAAACCAATCCCGCTTTCTCCAGTCACATATGTATTTGTTTGGTATCTCGGCGTAGGTAAGTGTTCTAGCCGCTGGATTGGTTGAGTTTAGGATAAACCACTGTGTCAACATAGTGTTCTCCGCACCACTATTTTCCACTATCTCTTCCAGAGTCTGTTGCTCTCTGTAAGGGACCATTTGTTGATCTTTGAGATGCACACATAGTCTTAGTACTGAGGGGTTTCTTTCATGTATTGGGAACTCATAGATCCTCCACGCTGCCTCATATGATGACAGATAACGACAGTCAAGATACTGCTTAATTTCATCTACTGGATGTTGTACATCTGTTGAACTGCTCGATTGGTTTGTAGCTTCGACAACAGATCTATCCGGTCCTTTTGTGAGGTATTTGAATAGGTATTTGATTAGCCTTCCTTTGTGACAAATCTCGACGTTGATATGTGCTTGCAACCATACCAAGAGTTCTCTGTTGTATGGTACTACGTATTTGTTGTCAAGTTTTGTTCCTCCCTTCTCCACCGTAATTCCGGTGTCCCTCCTTTTGTAGACGATGTAACCGAATTGATCATATGTGGTCTCAGATGCAAAAGCTTTTGGAAAATGCTTTGATCAGCGACCATCTTTCATGCACGGTGATGAATTATTGGATTGCCCACATGGACCATGCATCATAAACCGTGTAACGGCTTCATAACCAACGGGGTCTATTGTCGGGTCGGGTATCTCACTGCTGATTATTCTATCTATGTCTGCGATTTTCTTGGGTTTATCCGTCTCTGCTAGCCACAACAGAATGTGCACATGAGGGAGCCCCCGTTTTTGAAATTCCACAGTATGTAAATCTGTTACAAAGACATTAGAATCAGAATTAGTATGTTGTTATTCCTACCAAATATATGTGTAGGCTGATTTGTATTAAACGTCCATTTAGCAAAGATATTTACGCGCATACTAACTCAGCATAAGAACTAACATGCTGTCAAAAGATAAATAAGCAAAATTAAAATGCATTTGGTTATAAGCTTTGCATTGACATGGTTTTTCGTTTGAATTTTCTTATTTACTTGAACATATAATAAATGGTGTAGATGCCATTTTGAGATAATGAATCTGTAAAATGCTTGATAAGCAATAAGTAGCAAATGGATTGCTTTTAATCGTTTAAGCAAGGCAACAGCAAGGGCAACCTTTGACATAGCTGTTGTTCTCTAATCAATATGTTTGAACACGATTATAATGCATAGTCATATAAAAGATCAGATTGTATAGAGTTGAAGCAAGATCATTTAATTATGTAAATGGTTGTTGTTACCTGCAACAACTTGGCCGAAGAATCTTTCCTTGATGATGCGCTCTCTCAATGCTCGCAATTTCATTTTGAAGACACGTGCCACTATGTGGGTCTTATCTTCGCCTCGCTTGCCGACTGTGTTTTCAAATGCATGGACTATTTCGGGCCACTGAGCGTTGCATGTAAATGTAATGAAAAGGTCTGGGTTTCCAAAATATTGACACAGAGCCATAGCGTCAAGGTATAGCTGTTTCATATATCGTGGGCCACCTGTATATGAAGATGGTATTATAATCCTTCCCAAATTTTTCCCTGTTTCTTCACCCGCATGAAATGCGTCATAGAGTCCTTGGTATATTTCCGAGCGCAATATATCTTGGTTTTTTCTGATGAAGAAAAGTCGGTTTTGTTCAATCGAAGAGAATGCATCTATAATATAATGTTGCAAAACCTTCCCGCCCCTGATTAGTGTAGTCCCTTCATTATCGCGATGTTGCAGACGGAATGAATAGTACTCTCGCTGAGTTATACACTTCCTTTTTGCCAATGGGTTGCTTGCTTCTTCTACATACGTTATTCCTGTATGGTAGCCATCTTCCCCATAAGGAAATAACAGAGGGAAATGTAGTGCGTCGAATTTGGGGTTCAAACTCGATATTCGTTGTAGGCCCTCGCTTCTGTGGTTGACAATAATGTCTCTGTCATGTTTATCTGGGCAAAAATCTCCAGGGATAAGTCCAGCAAGCTCTTGGCCGGTTGGCAATTCATATTGTTCCGCACCCTTTACTCGAGCTCCTACAATCCTCAGACGTAGATTCTCTGTTGTAGGATCTTGTAACTGGGGCCTTCATCTTCTGAAACTTTTTACCAACTCATTTGTCTCGTCGAACATCTCAATCAAGCCTTGTACAATATCTGGAAGCAAAATGTTATCATTGCTTGAGAAGTTTGCCATTCTGCCTTGAACTTCGGTTGATGGATCGAAAACATACAGTTGTGCAAATTTTGGTCTTTGTCCAATAGGCGGCAACAAAGAGCCAATGCGATGATAGTTCTCACCACATATTACTAATGAAAAAGGACCTCTTGAATTCATTAGTCTTGTATCAATTTGTGCTCCAATTGATGTGAATGAGAATGCTGCATTGTATGGTCTACGATGTTTTGCAAAATGTGTTGCCATTTGATCTCCCTTAACATCCAGAAGTTTATCCAGATACGGCGGTGTTGGCTTAAGAAGAGGCAATCGAATCCTGCCTCGTTGACAGCACAATGTGAAAATCGGTGTGCTGCTTCGCCTATTGTAATTAAGTTGTTCGTGCGGCCAAAATCGTGCACCACAATGTGTGCAAGCCAGAGTTGGTAGTCCCAAATCGAGGATGTTATTATTTAGTGTTGGTGGCAAAGGAGATGAAAGTTCTGGTTCTTCAATTTCGGCTGGCAGTTCTTCGTTTGAGACTGTTTTTGTTGTATTCTGACTTTCAGTGTGTATTTCTCGTGCTGGTATATCTTCTGTATTGTAACTCTCTGCATCCATAAACATAGTGGTTGGTGTATTTTGTATGCTCTGTAAGGGATTCATGGATGCATAAGCAAACATTCTTGATCGCCTGTCGATTCCTGATTTTCTTCGTTTTGGTGGTTCTTGAATTCCATCTGATGCTTGTGGTTTGGTGATGCGGCGTTTGCGGACTGCAGGTGTTACCATGGGAGTGGTAGATGGTGCTTGGCGATGCTGCTTGTGAGTATTCTTGAGCTAGAAGGGTGTTATGCCTTTTCAGAAGAGGAGTTGAATGGGATGTCCTTTTCCTTGTTTGTTTTGTTGACGATTTGTGTTTTCCTATAGCTTAAAGGAGAAGTTGTTTTTTTCAATAATTGTGTATTCTGTGAATTTAAATACGATCTTTGCTTGACTGGGGTGGAGGTTTACGTTTAATGAAAAGGTTTGTTTGTTATAGGTTTGCAGATATGATGTAATAGTGGATGAAGTTATTGTGCAGAAAGTTTGTAATAGAGAAGGAACTAACAGAACTGAGAATTTGTTGTATCTGCAGAAAGTTTGTAACAGAGAAGGAACTAACAGAACTCATCATTTGTTGTATCGTGATGAAGTTATGTTTTTCTAGCTTTTACTCGTGGGCTTAGAGTGTATCAGTCTTGGGAATTCTTTTACATTTGTTATAAATGCACTTATGCTCTTTAGATAACGAAAAAGGGGAGGGGGGTAGGGATTGGAACGCAGCAAGATTGTGGCAGGTGGTATCCAAATAAAAAAGATCTAGTTGTTGTCTTTCATTTTCCTGTCTATGAACGATAAAGTATACAATGCATCTGTTGAATGAATCCTTTGTCATTAAGCTAATAAATATTATCATATATACATATATACCTTTCCCAACCTAACAGAAATTGATAAAATTGTATTTATATGAGGCCGAATCAAAAGCAGAGTTTCCAAACCATATAACCAAATTGTTCTAGATGTACTGAAATATGTTTATCAGAAAAAAAAACATTAAAATTGCAACACTTAGTAAACTGGTTCGAGTTCTCATTTCTAAAGCCGAATCATTCCATCCCTAAGCTTGAGCATATTTTTTCACCGGCTGACGCTTGCGTTTCGCCTTAACTTCAGTAGAAGTTGGTGGATCTTTAGGAACTGAATCCTTCAAAGCCCTGCAACTTTTGGTTTTCTTCACTCCAACTTCGACAACTGTGTGCTCTGCATCTGTTTCGACCGAAGCAGCTTTGGCCTTTTTTGTCCCAGTCTTTGTTGTGCGTGTACTGCACCGAACAATAACTTGTGTTAGAATGATATAATATTGCATCCCTAGACAATACCAAAATGTAAATCATTGATTAGAAGAACTCAGATTTTGTACCTAGCTTTCCTGGTGTTTAGAGTTTCTTTGTTGTCTTTGTCATCTGCAGATTGGTTACTTTTGCTTCTTTTGGTGTTTTGCAGCAGCTTAGACAAACATTGTTCATCGTCAGAGGATGCTGAGTCAACATTGTTGACTCCATTTACCTTCCTCGCAGGTGGTTGGGTTGTCCTAATTAATTTTACAATATGTACCACCATATATGACATTATTAGAATTCAATGATAAGAACCATCTCGGTGCAATTTGCTTCAAGTGTTGAGAATGATTGTACAGATGATTACCTTTTCCCACTTCTTTTGGATTCATTAACTCTTGGGGCTGCTTTCCTTTTCTTGTTGGCACTTGAAGTAACTGCATTGTTCCTGTCGTTGTAATTTATAGGCTTTTATTATGAATAATTTAATAATATGCAAGGCCTAAGGAATGAAGTTGCTCGAATGAATCTAAATAATTTTACGTAAATAAGACAAAGTTGATAAGACTGTACCCTTTATCGTCTTCTTTTTTAATTTCACTTGCTTCAAGTAATGGGAAGCCCGCATTTGATATTGGCTTTGCATGTGATTCAATTTGCAATGGCCTAAAATGCATTTGGAGTTATAAGATATTATTTAGACAAAATTATAGGAATAGTGTAACAACTCTAATAATAATAATAATAATAATAATAATAATAATAATAATAATAATAATAATAATAATAATAATAATAATAATATATCCTAGTGTAACGCACCTGTTTGAGAATTCTGATTTTAGTAGGCTTTGTTTTCCCGTTTTTCCAGTTTGATGGGGAAGCCCCTTGATGCTAGTGACTATGAAGTCGCCTACAGCACCATTGTTGTTTTCTTTGGGAAGTTGGATCTCAAATTCCAAGTTATGACCAGCTAGAGCTTCAATATCAGGTGGTAATATTCCAGTTCCATCCGGGTAGATTTCATTAACTTCTGTAGCTGTGCGTGGTAAGAATTTGTCTGCAGATGCTCCTATGAGAAGGAACGTTGCTTGATCATTACCATCATGCACAATTAGCCTGATTCGATACCTGTAAATCAATAATGGTATAAATATCAATGGCCAATGGCTAATTGCAAATAAAAGTCATTATAATGAATAACAATGAGAAATATCATACAATCTTGGTAAGATTACAACATTTGCAAGCTGTAAGTTTCATACCAATATTTGGTTTCAGAAGCGGGTATCTGGTAATGCTTCTTACACCAATAATCTGATCCACAATTAGTAACTGATTGATAGCATGACTTGCAGCCTCGATATCCCCATTTTCTTTGAGATTTTATAGCAGTCACTGTTGCTTGGCAAATATAATTGGTATTCTATAGCACAGAGGGAGAATTTATGTTATTATAGAGTATAGATAATAAGTCCGGGAAGCATTTGAATTAAAGTATATGAGAGATTAGAAGAGGCATTTTAGTGTGCTTTATAGTATTGGTACTATAAAACATTTACAGCCATTAGATCATGTCCAAACTATATCAACCATTAGATTTCATTTAAATTATTATTTTATTATTTTATTTGTGTGTTGATAACCGGTACAACCAGTTACACTCTTCTTCCTTCAAAACCAATTACACTCTTCTTCTCACCGCCGAAACCCCTCTTCCTTCGATCCTCCTCGCACACTTTGTCCCAGAAATCAGCAGAGTAGCCGAGCCCGCTCGGCGTTGTGGGGGTCGGAGTCGTCGGCACGCTGCAGAACTTGGGTCGGAGGATCGACCCGGCTCGCGGAGACCCGTACCCAGATCCGCCTCCTCCGCCGCCACCCATCCAAGTAGAAGTCTGATTTCACCTTACCGAGCTGCAAGTTCCTGAGAGAAGCCACCATCTCGTTGATCGAGCTCGAACCCAGCGAGCGGCTCAGCACGTGCTGCTGAGTCGTCATCGGAGACATCGGCGGGGAGTCGGTCTCTGGCGGCGAAACAGAGCCCGGCGAGGTCACGAACGGCAGAGTCCGAGCACAGGAAGCCTCAATCGCCTGCCGAAACGGCGACCCATCGTACGACTCGGTCGAATTGACGCTCCTCGGGCTCTGAGGCAGGACCCGGAGCTGCTCCGGCGTGTGAGCGAAGAAGCAGACACGCCTCCTGCAATTGGTCCCGTCCTTGCACGGCTGCGTGCGGTAGCGGGCCGGATGGAGCCAGCACTCGAACACCCCGTGAGCGAACTCGCAGCCGTCGCCCTTCTTGCAGTTCCCCTTTCGAAACTCGGGGCACGCGGTGCCGGAGTAATGGTACTTGAAAATTCGTTTGGTGGTTTTTGCTATTCTTCTTCTCTTTTCTGAACTTTTTGAGCGTGGCTTTTGAATTTCTGTGGTGGGTTAGGGATTTGATTGTTTTTAGTTGGGGAAAAGCGATGGGCAAACTATGGATTGTTATTGTGCTGAATTTAGAGATCCTTGATGATATTGAGCAGTAATTAGGATCAAATAGATATTGGAAACTTTGTAGACTCTGAACAATAGAATTGCTAGCCATCTAAATGTTGGATCTTGGTCAATTTTCTGGGGATTCTAGTTCAAAAGTGCTCCACGGAAAGTTCATTTAGCTAGTGAAATCCCAGGTGAAGTGTTGAGTCTCGGATTCGCGGATAATGGAAGATGAACTAGGAAAAAAGCTAGCCTGAATTACTTAATGCCCCATCCGTAGTACGTAATGGTTAATACAGTAGGAATCCTTTCTTTCTTCTAGGATGCTTTTGTACTGCCACAAGGAGCTGCAGTATTAGCATCACCTTAATCGTAACCTGTCTATGATTTTTGCTGTTTACGTGAGTTCACTTTCACTTTTTGTATTATGTGTAGGGACTTTGATCTGGTAACTCTTTCAGATACTACACGTTGGATTCAGAATTCAATTTCTCTTGTGATAGAGCTACAATCTTAGTCTTCAATTCCAGGCAAGTTACTAAAATCTTGCCCTTTTAACTTCAGCCGTGAATTGTTATTCAAGATTGTTTGTCTGATTAGAGATTCATCAAGTGAAACTCCATTTCACTTGGAAAACCGGTGTGAGTTGCACGTGTCGAGAGAGCTATTGCCTTGTTGAGTTACATAATCGTCATTCCAAGCATGCGATTCATCTTGTCTTTGTGAGCGCTGGGAGAGGAGTCCTAATCATGTTCCCATTGTGGTTAAGCTAGCAACTATTTGTAGTATGGTTGTTGTGTGTATGTATTCTAGAAAAGGGTAATCGAAGCATTTGTCTTCTGTGATTCTTTGCATGAGCTTTGCATTAGTCTTATGTGATTCTTTGCATTCATTTGAGCTTTTTATTTCGTTTGAATGCTGGCTCCGTCTACGTTTATGTGATTAGTACTTCGGTTTACTATTAGAGCAAGATTGTGATGCAATTGACAGGTTATGCCGTGATTCATCAAGTGAACCTTGGACTTCTTCTCCTCATGCTTAATCATTAGTTCATTCTTTTATGCATGCTAGTATTATTTTTCTGATTAGAGATTCATCTGTAAAAATGCACTTCTCACGGCTCATCTGTAAATATCACGGGCGTGAGATTAACCCGTGATATGGTCACAGCTGAAACTCAAAAACACGCCTCACATCTGAAAATCTCACGGCCGGGAGATGTACCGTTAGATTTTTTTAAAAAAGGGGAGTTCCAGGGGTTTTCACGGGTTGGGTTCGACAGTATCACGGCCGTGAGATGAGCCGTGTTTGTGTAATTGAAATGCTGGACTTCTCACGGCTCATCTGTTAATCTCACGGGCGTGAGATTAAGCCGTGAGATGGTCACAGCTGGTTTTGGCGTGATTCACCTAGTGAACCTTGCATTCCAGTATTATTGTTCCCAACCATGCGTGATCTCAAAAAAAGTTGCTCCAATCTGACCTAGCTAGCGATTGTGTTCCTTCCTTTATGCATGCCAGTATTAGCTTTTTGATTGGAGAGACTTGATTTGTGTTTTATGGAGGCAAATCGAATAGGAAAGTTCATACTCAAAGTTTGATTCTTTTCAGTTTGGCTTGAGACAAGTTGGATTGTTGTTTGCCTTCAAACTGAGTCTGCAGAGAAAATTTTGGAAGAGTTGATTTGGTCTTGTTGGTATTGTAGTGTCGTTACCGTTGCTTGTTGATTACATTTTGGACTGTTAATTGAAGGGTCTTGCTTGGCTGCATGAAAGGTGCAATTGAGTGTGTTAGTCAAGAATTAGTTCATGAAATCAGGGTGACTTGAGGAGGAAACGCAAGAGAAATGAAGCATTCTCAATTCTGTGAGGTCTCTAGTCATTAAGCTATTGCTCAAAGTTTGTCCTTGTTGCTTCTCATATTGTTAAATTTTTTGGAGGGGGTTGCTAATTCGAATATCTTGCGATGGTTAGTTGTGTGGGATATATTTTGTCAACTGATCTGCTTGCTTGCTGATCTCCAAATCATTATGAAGTACATCGATAAAGATTGACCGATTAGCATAGATGTAGGAGACCTGAAATAGTCAAGAGATGATGCCCTTTCTTCTCTCTGTACAATGATCTTGTGTCTGAATATTCTGGATCTTGCTGTCCACTCTTCTATAAAACAAAAGTATGTACTTGATCACCTTTTGTTTAAGCATGCAAGAAGCTGTTTGGTTTCCTATTTACTGCATTCGGATTAGACAAGGCTACTGCAACAGCTACGTTTGTCATATCACTCGAAACATCCATTTGAGCGAAAATGGGACTAGGATTGGTAGGTACTGGTGTGGTATTTCAAATGCTGAAAAATGCAGATGCATCATTTCATAGGTGGATCGAGCTTTGGGAGGTTAGAATAGTAGCTTTGATGTACTGATAAGTGACTCCTCTAGTAGCTTTGAAGTACTGAAAAATCAGGGTGTTTTTAGTTTCACGGCTTAGTTTAACGACCGTGATTTTTGAAACCAAAGCCGTGAGATTGTCTGGGATATGAAAACTACTCTTTGCTTCTCACGGGTCATGTCACGGCCGTGAGAATTTGCATTTTGGGTGAAATTTAATGGAAGCTGGGTGTTTTGGGTGAAATTTATATATGCCAATGGCGGATTTCATGGTTAATTAGTGTACTCAGGTGTTGATGTAGGGGGTTTTCATTTCTTCTGGTAGTTAGAACTTGATATCGAGGCAAGTGTGCTTGTGAGCTCTGGTATAGTCTTGTATTTGTTCAATATTGATTAAAGTCATATATTGAAAACCAGGATTGAACTCATTACCTGGAGAATGTGTTTACCGAATGATTAAATGATCCTTTTCTTGAATGAAACTTTGTCATAACCACGTTTTCTCGAATGTGTTTAAGTGTGAAAACTGAAAGTTGCTTCTTTAGATCAGTGATGGACGACTCTGGCTTTGTGTATTTTGTTAGTACTCTTCGGCATGCTTATAATTCGTGTTTCAAGGCATGCTTATAATTTTTTTGTTGTTTTAATTTTGCAGTTTGCTAAAATTGTTCTATAATGAAGACGAAGAGTCATGAAATTTTTAGCACCCGCTGTTCTCCTAGGAAAGTATTCTCAGTAGTCTCAAATTTAGAGGCTTGTCAATCAGAGGCCATTAAGAGATGTGGCTTTGGTCGTATGCTTGAAGTCAAAGGAAGAATGCTCCAACGTGAGTTGTTGGAGATCCTTTTGAAGAGCTTTAATGTGGAAGAAAGCTCAATTCAGGCTTATGGGTTGAAAGTCCATATTTCGGCCAAAGTTTTCGAGCAAATTATGGGCGTGCCTGAGGGAGGTACTGATATCATCTTGAATGGTGAAGAAGTGGGACGAAGATCCGAGGAATTGAATCCATTTAGAGTGTATTCGACAGTTGATTGTGCCCGACAGGCGATTTCGACAAGCTTAATGCGGAAGGCTTTGTCGGAGATGAAAGATAGCGGCGATCTATTTCTTCAAACGTTTATTTTGTACGTAATGGGGGTGCTATTAGTACCAACTAGAAGAGATGACTTTTCGTTATCTTCGGTATACGCTGTCCTCGATGTTGCCGATATTCCGAAGAAGAATTGGGCATCGTTTTGCTTCAATGAATTGGTCAAATGCATCTGCGACCATAATGCTGAGGGGAGAAAGTATATACCGGGTTGCTTGCTGTTCTTGGAGGTAAATAATTGGTAATCCCTACTTTCTACATATTTGTAATGATTAATCATCATGTTGATTATAGTATTTTTTTTTTTTGTAGTTAATATTCTTGGAGCATGCAAATGGTATTTTCGAAACTATTGATAGGAGTTTGAATTTGTTGAGCTGGGGGAGCGGAGACGTGGAGTTATTGTTAACAGAAGTGGTAAGACTGATAGTATATTTGATTCTTTTGACGAGTTGGAGCATGCTAATGGTACATTTGGTTCCCTTTTTAATTAATTTGTAGGTTTCCAGCAGTTCGGGTAAAAGATCAGCTGAGGATGCAGGTTTGAAATCACCTGCAAGGAAACGGGAAAAAAGAGATGGGAAACGGCAAAAACCCGACGGTGATGAGCTGCTTCTCTGTGAGCGTATTGACGCTCGGTTTACTACCATGGAGGGTAGAATTGACAACTTTAGGCAAGAATTTAGAGTTGCAATGGGTGATGCTGCTTCCAGAGAGAATGAGCTAATGAGTCGGGTTGTGAATATGGAGAACGAATTTCGGGCTTTTAGAGACGAAATTGGTAGTCAAGTGAAGTCCATTATAGAGGTAGTGAAAACAACTATAGGTGATCCGTTGTCAAGGGAGCAGCCTACTGAGTTGAAAAAGAACGATCAGAAGGATGAGGCTGATAATGTGAAAGCTTCTGCAGCTGTTTTGTTGTCAACGGAGCAGCTTATCAGAGGGGAAAAGGGCAATCAGAAGGCTGAGGTTGAAAAACCAAGTGAACCCATTTCTCCTACCTCCGAATCTGTCAAGACTCAAGGGTTAGGTGTTAAGAATTGGGGAGAAGCTGAGGGGGAAATTGGAGATGACTGCGGTTCTGAATCTCCTTCTGTCAAAGTTGTGAAAAAGTCTCCTTGCAAGCAGGCGAAAGCGTCTAAAGTTGAGAAATTCATATTGTTGAGTGATGAAAGTGTTGCTGCTAATGATGGTTGTGCCAAGACTGTGAAGGTATTACACTTTATTAAGTTTTCTAATTATTTGTACTTATGGTGTGGTTACTAATGAACTTGTTTTGTTTTTATGTTTTTGAACAATAAAGGGACGAAAGGGAGGTGGACTACGTAGTGTATCTAAATTGAAGCCTAGTTTGTATGTGGTCTCTCCATTCGAACGTGCAAATCCCAGAGCTAAGAAAGGACAACCTTTGTACCGTGCTCCTCCCTTTGTTGTTCAGACACCATTGACTCTGGAGGCAGTAAAGATGATTCAATTTGCTTTTAGTAGTTCGCTTCCCGAAAGGTACCTCCCGAAATCATTACAAGTAAGATTGGATCATATCTGTAGGAAATTTTTGGTATTTGCCTTATTCTAATGTTGTGGTGTTTGAACTTGGTCTTGTATAACAGGGACGTATTGGTTCGTCTTGATGGCGGGGCTCTTGAGTTGTTACGTGAAGATTTGGTCGAGTTTTTGCCCAGGACCAAAATTTCAACAAGGGTGAGTTCCTTTATGTGTGTAATTTAGTAGATTAAACTTGTATTGCTGACTTTGGTATATGTGATGATGATGCATTAGATTATAGAAATGGCATGTCTGTGCAAGACACTAGAAGAACGAAGTTGCGGTCGCAGTGGTGGCGTGTCTTGGTTCTTTCCACCTTCAATTTCGGTACAGTTGTCTGCTTTGTCTATTCTTGTCATGAAATTAATCTATTTGTTTGTTACATGTAGCTTGTGTGGGTAACTGTGTTTTATTTTTCTAGGATCGTGCGTATCATTGCAAAAACGAGGAGCAATTTATGGAAAACATGCGTTCATATAAGATACTTGAGCGATACCGTATAAGTGAGCTACTTTACTGCAGTAAGGTATGTTGTAATGTTGTTTTCTAAAAGGAAATGGCTTCACACTCCTATGTTAAATTGATAATTATTGTTTGTTTGTGCATTATTTCAGATTCATGTCCCAATTTTCAACCTCACGGTGTCCCACTTCTATCTGGCGGTCTTTAACATGGAAGCCAAAGAAATTGAAATCTGGGACTCAATACCAGGAATTCATAACCTAGAATATGATGCAAGGATGCATAAACTGGTTTGCTTCTTGTTCTTCAAGTTTTCAAACTTGACTTATTGCTTAGTTGTTAGTCGTTTTTCATTTGCCGTCTTTGTCGTTAAATATCGATGAGGGGGATGTTTTCATTTGCAGAAATTGGGTCTAGACTGGTTGCTTAAGGATGATATCTGCGGGACGTTTTCATTTGTGGACTTTGTGGTTAGATATCGCCGGGATGTTGCTTGCCAACCAAATGGGTACCCTTTGTTGTTGTTCAATCGTGCACTGTTCTAATTAAGTTCGATAATTATTTGTTCGCATCATGACCATGGTAATTATTTGTTATATTACAGGTTTGATTGTGGACTATTTGTCTCCAATTACTTGCTGGATCCAGATCGATATTCCAAGAAGCTTGACCAGTTCGACAGTGACTATGAACGGGCACAACTTACAATGTACTTGCTCACGACGCATTTGAATGAGGTGAAAGCTACAATTACGACACAATCAGAAGAATATTTTGACAGTCATGTGAGACCTGCCCAAATTGAGACTGAGAAGGTGAATTTCAAGACGAACTTACTCAATCGAGGAAGAAAGCCGTTGCACGCGCATGGGGAGAAAAAGGGTAGAAAGTCTAAGAAGCATTGAGAGTTGTGATGTTAATGTAGAGTTTAGTTAATGTGGATGTTTTTTTTTTTTTTTGAAGT